ATATGGCTAATATTCAATATGTACATTCAAGGTATATACTTCATGTGCCTTCAATTTAGTTTCAATTGAACTCAACTAGAAACTAAATATGTATGTACATACATATATGTCCTGAAGACTAGTGTGCCGAAAAGGGCTTATCAATAAACTCACTGAAGTCCACCGTTGTCCACCTGACAAAGACTTCACGAAAACTAACCTACTGGTCTTTCAATATGTTAGTAAGACCCGTTATCACATATGTGGCACGGTCCGCGTGACCATTACAGGAGATATGGGCACCTGTCCAACGGATGCCCTTTATGTCATGATAAAAACATTACAAGGTAAATTCATTCTCTCATTTCGTCGGCCATGATTTTTTTCTGGCGTTTGCCAACATTTTAAAATCATATAAAATTGAAAATAAAAAAATTAAATTGTTCACAATTGTTGTTGTTTGAGATTGAAAATGAGAATGTGTGTGTGAGTTTGAGTTTTGATTTTAAAATTATATTGTTGGCAAACGTCAGACTGCCTCTCAATGGTTTTACCTTGTTATGTTTTTATCATGCTTTATGTCATTACGGAATGCCTTTCTTTTGCCTATTCTGTGTGATAAAGAGGCCAGCTGGAGCGCCCTACGGCTGCACAATATGATCAGCAAGAAAATTGGAGATCTTCAAGGTCATTTGGAGGTTCTAAAGGCATTCCTGGATAATCCTGAGTTATATTCTATGTGACTGCCCACGTATCGTAAATAGCAGACTGATACAGCTTGGGGAACGATTGTCTTATTCATCCTCCAAAGTGCATAACTTCTTCAATAACTTAAAATTGATTACAAATAGGGTTAAGCACAACAGAACTTCTTAGGTCGCAGCGCAAGTATAACCGACGTAATTATAATAATGATAATAATAATAATATGTATGTAAGAGACAAACATTTGTACAGACTGTACTGCAAAATTAATTGTTATACGTACTTAATTTGTTTTTGTTGTACCAGCTGTGTTTTAGTTTTACTGACTGTTATTTTATCTACATTTTTAATAAACTTCGCATAGGTCAAACATTTTAAAAACTTATCAATTTTTTGGTAGGTTTTGCTTGGTCTTATGCCCTGTATGCAGCTCTCAAGAAAACGGTCAAGAAAAAATTTAGCATTATTTCTTGTGTGTCCAAGGAATTTTGACATTTTTGATACTTTGCGCAGCATATGCATATTTTATGTTTTAAAACAAAACCATAACATTTGAATTTCAATAACATTTGTACTCTTTTAAGATTTGTTTTATATTTGTTTATTTTACCGTGACGTTTTCCAAATATCGAACTTATAGAAATAAACACTTTTTGCCACTTACTCCAGCACTTCCGTTATAAATAAGATAATAAATAATAACAAATTTACTTTATTTGCGGCGAACTTCACCTTTTGCCTCTGTTGAGCCGCTTTTAATCTCGGTAGCGATTCCATCGTGGAAATAGTTCGACACGCAGTCATTGGCATTTCAGAAGACGTAACAGCTCAGTAACTTTTGCGATTGCACCTTCTGAACGGGTTGTTTTGTACTTTTTATCACCATTTGAGACAACATAATGTGTGTTGTTGAATTTGACAGCTAATTAGGGGATTCCCTTAAACTCGTAAAGTCTTAAACCGTGTAAAACTCGTAAGTTTACGAGGCTTTTATAGGAACGCCCCCTTTGTGAAAAGGTGTAAATAGGGGCGTAAACTGACTGTTTGACAGATCAACCAGGATTTTGTGAAGCCATTTTCGTTTCGTAGTATTTTCCATAACATCCCGCCATCTTGTTTCTATCACTCTTGGCTAAAATACAATTAAAAATGCCGAAAATTAGCAGTAAACCTATGTCAATACAGTTAGTGGATGAAATTCATTCATTTTATTAGCGTATTATTTTTTTCATTATTTTATGATACATTTTAGTATAAAGATTTCGGCCTCTCGGCAACATTGATGTTTACGGAGTCGTTTGACAATCATATTTGCCTCATAAATTTACGAGGGGCTCGTAAATATAGCTCCATACAAATTTTGACAGTTCCTTTACGAGGCTCATAAATTTACGGGCTTACGAGGCATTTACGAGTTTAAGGGAAGACCCCTAGTGATTGAGACAATTGAAGAAGTATGCATGCATTAGTAAATAAGTGTCGCAGTATTGTCCGGTGTAGACCCTAAGTAAGCCTTTAAAAATTAATATTCTCCCACCCTGTCCGTCAATTATCTCCTTACGTTTTCTCTTTACGTTTAATACAGCAACGTTTTTACGCTAACGTTTGTTATTATGACCGAAAAGCTCAAATTTATTTCAATGGAAAATTCGTCTTCGTCGAGAGTTGATGTCGAACGCAAACGCTAAAATAAAGAAAAAATTTTCGCTAAAAGTGCAAAAGTGAAAAAAATAATAAAAATTATCATTTCAAACGAAGTTAAACGAACCCTGTGGACGAGAAAATTGCAAAAAAACGATACTTTTACAGCGCATACAACTCAAACTAGTTGTGCAAATTTCTCAAGCAGAATTAAAATTGCAGTTGTTCTAGAATAATCTTTTGAGTATTCAGTAAAATAATTAGCAAATATAAAATTTAACTACTTCAGCACATGAATAGTTAAATTCGAGGCAGCATTTTTGAAGAAACAAAGCATTAGTTGCATACATATGTATATGTAAGGAGCTCCCACTGCACCAAAGTCGGTCTGTTAGCGAGGGGTCAATTACATAAGCGCGGTAGGAAGAAGTGATTTTTCGACAATCTCTTGTGTAATAAAAAACTTCCTCGGAAGTGTAAAGGCGAGCAAAAGACGCAAATAAAGGAATCAAAAAGCTTGTCACGGGCGGCATCCCCGTCCTCTGAAAATCGTGTAACTTCTTGGTGCACGTTGCGCCCCTTTGTACACTCGTACGCTCCTTCATACACATCCATAGTGGTGGTCATACGCTATACTCCCGGTTCGCTTTGTACACTCGTACGCTCCTTCATACACATATACTCCCGGTTCGGTGCGCAATATACATATGTATGGACAGCAGTAGAAGCGACGACGAGCGCCGTGACCATAAAATTTCTTATGTGCCGCTACAACAACAACACGACGAGCGCCGTGTGTGTGTGGAGTACATATAGAAGTACGCTTTTAAGTTGCCATATTTACGCGCACGACCTGCAGCTGCCAGAGTCATCGTAACCAGTCGGCTGATCCCCGCGTGAAGCAGCGCAATTTCACTATTCCCAGCAGCTAAAGCGAACTTTTGCGGGAACGTTGTTTAAAACTTGTCGTTGTCGTGGACGTCGTTTTAGTTGTTGACTTTTAATCACCCGTTTGCCGGTGCTGCTAATAAACCTATTGTGTTGCTATTTGAATAGATTTGCTTTCCCCATATTTTATCGCAATTTGTGTACGTAGAGGAGTGTTATAAAACCGGCAAGCAGTAGCCGGTAAAATATTGTTTTCTCTATTTAATTGTGTACATTGAAATTTTAATTGTACATTTTAAAGAGTGCGGAAAGCGGTCTAGTCCGATTATGTCCCAGAATCAACGTGACACTCTTATACATTTGGTCGCTGGCGGGTAAGTGATTTTTTTTTTTTTATCAATTTGCATATCTACATACCTACTACATTCATTCTATTTATGTACATAATTTCACAAAATTTGCTCGTAAAAAATATGCACACAATTAACTTTGCACATGTGCCAGCTGCTAATGGAAAATTTCCAACTAAGTAATATTTGTGTGTTCCAATTGTTTTTCTTCATGTTCCTCAAAGTCTGTTGACTTGTACTCTGCCATCAGGCAACATCAAAGGCTTCTTATCAGAGATAACGCATTGCAAGTGTTTTGCAAATCTGTGATAAGAAACAAAAAATGATAAGCGTGCTACGCAGTCACATGTTAATTAGGCAACAGTATCAAGCTAATGATTGAGCCATTGTATTACATAAATAGTATTGGGTTAAGCTCATGAAAAATTGTGTAATTGCAAAAATATCTACACCATTTAAATTTTTTCGGAAACTCAACTAGAAATAGATGTTTTTGCCGGTCCACTTGGTTTTGTTTTGTTCTTGTGTGGCTACCATAACCTTTCCTAATCTAATCTAATGAAACATACAGAGAGAGCGATCAAAAGCTGTGCTGCTTTGCCTTGAAATATCCGGTTATTAGTGTCAGGGCGAAGGAGGAATTGAAAATACACAAATTCGCTAGGAGGTTTCAAAGGTTCAGATAAGCTTATAGGTAGGTATAATAGACATATGCATCCAATGCTATGCATCTAATCAAAATCACCCTTTTTGTCGCCTTTAGCCAATAGTGCAAATTAAAAAATAGACTCTAAATAGCCCAATACAACGCCTTCGATGCTGGATGTCTCCTCTTACCGTCTAAAAATATTCCCAAGATAAGTCGAAACTTTCTGCTCCTCAGTTCTTGTTGAAACTCTACAAAAAAAAAAACAGAAATTTTAAATTGATGCTCACAACAAAATCAATGCTACAAACTACGTCCAAACTTGTAATTGCACTTTAAGATGAAGTTACTCTTAGCCAAAAACTGATGTGTGTCTTATGGTCGCAAACGGCAACTAAAGTTAGATTTGGACTAACAGTACATAGATACATAGTTTGTAAAAAACATTGGAGATGAAATTATTTGCACCCAAAAAACGCTCGGAAAAGAAATGAGGGCAAATGCGTGCACGCCTGCTCCACATGCTGCCAAAAAAAGACAAATCGGCGCAGGCATAAATAACTATATGTATGCATTAGTTTAGGGCAAGCGAAGTGTGAGGGCATTGAATTAAACAAAAAAAAACAACAAAAAAAAACTTGATAAGAAAGGCACAAAGATAACGAACGAAGAAAAAAGGCAATGATTTAAGGACTCTTAAAGTCGCCTGTCGCTGTAGCTCGTCTGTACATACATATGTACTACACACTATATCAGCATCTAATTGTTCAAAGATAAGGAAAACATATTTGACCATTAAATTTCTTATGTGGGGTATGCGACAACAGTGGGTCGGTCCTGCAAACACATATCACACATACAGTGGTAGTAAAATAAAACGGGACGTGACTGTAGGGTATTTTACCTATATTTTTTTATACTTGTTTAAATTCTTTATGTTCAATTTATGGTTCAATGAATTTGTTTGTTATCAAAAAGAAAATTTTTGATTATTCAATAATAAACTTTCAAACAAGAAAGAAATAAATATTTTTAAATTGAACAATATATCATACGATATAGTGACATTTTAACAAATTTTACCTATTTGTATTTATTGTTTCTTTTATAAAAGTGCAGCTCAATATCTCACAAGTCATATAAATCCATTTATCAAACTTTGTACAAAAATTTAAATTTTGCAAAATTGCATCTAAATTGTCAACTTTTTAATCAGAATTCTCTAAATAAACTCTGAGGCAGGGCGATCTTCAACCAAATTCTCAAATAGAGTATTCTTGAAAAAATTTCTGAGATAGGACGTTTTCGAACCGGCTGCCGCGATAGGTCGGTCTTCCACGCAGCCTTCGATATAATAAAGCGCAAGTTTAAAGGTGGTAAAAAATCGCGTTGATTTTTGATAAATTTTTTTCTGACCGTATTATGAATTTTTTCCATAAAAAAATTGTCGAACATACTTTGTATGGAAGAAAATGCGAAAAAAAATTCAAAAATCCCCCCAATTTATGAATTTATATGATTTTTGTAAAATAAGTAGCTGCACTTTTATAAAAAAAAAAAAAATTATAAATATTTCTAAAGAAGTTAGGTAAATTTTTTAAAAGTTGCGTTCCCATTTATTTTTTCACCACTGTACATACGTGTGCATGGGTGAATGTACTATTGGATCTACTTTTATCAGCCATGCCTAACGCTCGTATCTTTTTTAGGACAAAATCAGTATATTAAGTACTGCGCAAAAATCCCGTTTCGCAGTATCTCCATTTAATAATAAAAGCATTTTTTACAGTACATTACAGAAACAGTTTACCAATAGAATAAAGAAATTCCTGGTATGCTACACATAAGACCAGGTATTTCTTTATTGTACACCCCGAGACAAAACTGCATACTTGGAATTTTTCTAAAAATTATGAATACAAAGTTTGTTGTTGTGGCATTTTTTTAATTTCTCTATAAAGTTTGTAATGTGGATTTATATGGTATTAAGTATTATATAATTAACTAGACTTGAATAAGAAAGTATTAAACATTAAACAACCGAAAGGAAAATAATCAAAACTGGTCTATATGTCATGTCCCTATTTTTTTTAAACATGTGCATTTTTAAAACGTGTTTCCGCGAACACTGTGTATAAAAAAATTTAGGCAGAAAAAAAGTATAAATGCAGTATTTCGGAAAAAACCGCGGTGTCCATTTTTGGAATCCAAAAAAAAAAAGTATTATTCATACTCCCGAAAGAAAGTATAGATACGAGCGTTAGCCATGCCCATAAATAAATAACCGAAATTAATTACTCCAGATACTTAAAATAATTATTTTATATTTTATATTAAGAAAATGTTAACTTTAGCGCTAGCAATGTTGATAAGATAAAAAATAATATTTTATGTGTTTTCAAATAAGTACCCACTTAAGTACAACTAGTACAGTGAAGATTAGTTGATAAATATATGAACATGATAAGAATGCATTTAACACAAAATATGTAAATATTATACAGAAACAAATATTGAGTACAGCGCAAATGCTCTTTATTTTTTAATTTTTTTCGTACAACTTTTGAACTTTTAATTTGCAAAAAAAAAACTCTAAATGTGTTAATTATCCTTTCTTTGTTTTGTCAAAAGTCTTTCTTGTAATTCTTTCATGTCACGTTTTCTACCCTTTTGAGAGAAAATTTTTTGTTTTTAGTTTTCTACTTTTATTTTGCTTTCAGTTTTTGTTCTTATATTGCTTATACTTGTTGACTTGAACAGTGAGATGTTTGTAAATATGTATGTATTTACATATGACTAACTTAGAGTGTAAAGTTGCTAAGTCTGGTTTTTTGTAAAAAAAAAAAATGTTATGCAAGTAGCAAAAACAATTGAAAATTTCTACTTTTCTAAAATATCGAACCAACTGTTTTCTTTCTAACCTTTTCTATACAGTGGCACCCAAAGAATGCAACAACTTTTCATCAACGCCGTTATTTTAGCTTGGATTAAGCGAAATCTTTGTTGATTCGAATTATTCCGTAATGAGTGATTGAAGAATATGAGTTGCAAATGTTTTTATTTTCCTCTGTAAAATTTGAAATACCTGACTTAGCAACTTTTCGCTATAAGCTAGTGATATGGTACATATGTATAGCTATTTGTAAGCATTTACTTACCGTTCTCATGTTTTTCTCATTTTATTTTTATCGTTACATTCTTTAGTCTCTTTCTGTTTTGCTTTTTAGTGTCGCTGAGCTATTTTTAGCCACAATAAAATTGAATGCCCAAAAAATAGCAGAGTAAACGCTTAAGAAAATTATATTTTCTCTGTTGATGGCACAAAACTACTAATACATATGTACACATTTATTTACAAACGTACATACATACATACATACATACATACATATGTGAACGGCATTATGATAAACAAGATAGACCTACATATATACATATGTATTTATCCAGCAGTGCCAAGAAGAATAATTAATTTAAATAAAAAAAAATATAGATTCCGTCTGTTGGGTACGAAAATAACATGCATTTTTGTATACATTAGGGTGCCCCTTATTTGGCAAGTTTAATTATTTTTTCGTTCCAATCTCTATTTATTAAAATTAACTGTGCAATAAATAAGCTCATCAGATGTTTCACTCATTGAAGAATTATTTTTAGATCCTGTATCGGTCCAATCTTAGTTAGATCCAGCTAGTAGACTAAATCGAGTGTCTTTTTGTAACCAAATCTTTAGCACCAAGAAAAATAAGGATTTCATAGAAACCTCTTTCTATGTACATAGTTGTACGTTGCACTTGGAGATCATAGAGAACATTCGACTTTTGAACGCTACGATAGGAAGTTTTGTGAACTAACCCCAGTTTAGCAACGTGGCCACCACCCAAGTCTATGTATGTAATGCAAAAATATCCAGGAATAGATCAGTCCCTCCCCGATCCACGATAGGCACTTTCAGGCCGCCTCAACCGAGCCGAGCAATCAGAGCACCTAAAAGATGCTGCGACCTTGAGTATATTGTGGCCTCAAAGCTGATTCGGAACACGATGGTCGGAAAGGCCATGTTTATTTTTCAAGAAATGTTTTTTTTTTTTTCAAAAAAGTATAACTAATGAGTAAGGCCGAGTAAGATCTTCATTCTTTTACCAAAAAGTAATAAAAAGGGTCATTTAATGATCTACGAAAAGAAAAGCCGCGCATACTGCCGCCAAAAAGTGTGGCGGCCAACTTTAGCAATTGTTCCAAATAACATAAAGTGTATTTTAAAGAATAGGTATTAATATAATATATTCTATATTTAGCTTTATCTAATTTATAAGATGTGTCTCAGCAAATCCGAGTAAAAGTTCCAAAATTAGCGAATCCAAAATACTAAAATTTC